TTGACAATAACATTTGTAAACCATAGCAAAAGTAAGATTGAACCTTAAAAAGTACATCCACATCAGAATTACACACAATGCGTATTTTTTATTTTTGATTCTAATGTCCAGTGCTTGTCATTTTTTTTGTGAGATTTCGATAAATGCTTCTTGTTCCTCTGTCCAGCTGAAATCATGGTTCATCAAATCCACGAGGATATCTTTTCTTTCTTTTATGACTTGGTAATCTTCGATACGTCCTTGAACCTTCTGGTTAGTTAAGAGTTGGTCAATGAAGCTCATCATGTATAAGCCGCAATCTAATCTGATTTACAAAGAAATTCAAGTCAATGAATATGAGTATTAAAATGAAATGAAATGTGTGATACAGAGTAGTAGTTTAAAAAACAAACTGTTTTTTTATCATTGGCATTGTTGCTTTTTGACTAAATGTTTGCTTTTTGGCTTGCACATCATTCTTGTTGAGAGTATTGTTGCTTTTTAGAGCTTCAATATCTGGTTCTTGCTCTCTTTCTTTTGCCATTGATGAAACATTTTTTTTTCCGGCAATGGCAAAAGAAAGAGAGATACATTTTTAAAGCTTCAATATCTGGTTCTTGTTCTCTTTATTTATAGTAATAAGGAGGAGAGAAACTTGTTCTCAAAGTAATACAAAGTATATTAGGAAAGATCTTCTAGATCCCAAAGGATTTCTAATCTATCTCTGCTTAGGATTTACACAATCACAATATGTATCAGAACATATGTCACAACACTCCTCCTTAAGTATGCAAATACTCAAGTAGATAACGCATCAGATCTTCAGGCAAATGTAGAAGCAGTTGATGAAGTCATCTCATCTAGTTGGCACAAGTAGCGAATGTGAGTCTTAAAACAAACAGAAGAATGCATAGGTGGTAAAACTCACAAAGCCTTGCTATGGCAAAAACCAAAGTGGGACAAAATCCCATAGTCAAAGGAGAAAAGTGAGAAGTTGCATTAAGTCAAAACTATTCCTCTTCAGGACGCAAGTAGGACGTACACAAGGGTATGACCAACCTAGGATGGGTGCCTCATCGAAACTTAGTCAGGTAGCAAAAACCTAGTGGGAAAAATGTTCCTAATCGTAGAAAAAAAGTACATTAATGTCAAGTGAGCATACTTCTGGATATTCCCCCTGAGTTTGACAAAACTTCCAAATGAAACTACAAGCATCACAAGTGAGAAAGTTACACATACCAATTCATTGGACAAGCTTCTGGAAGGTAGACTTCGGTAGTGATGCCGTGTAGAGGTCGACAAGGTTGTCTGGGATTAGACTGCTTGACTTCAATCTTCTAATGCTTATGCTGATGCAGACATAATATGTTTGGCGTTGACTTGTTGAATGTATCATGATCTGGTCAATACATACATCGTTGTTTTCATGGATCATTGTTGGGACTCAACGATGGATGAAAATCGTAGGGAGTTCGAATATGCTTAACAAGAGTTCTCGACCATATCTTTCATCAATGGTGACTATAGGTCATCGGAGTAGTCTAGGCTACACCAAATCGGTGGTCGTGTCGGTGGTGCACATGTCTAAGCCCAAAAGGACAAGGACGACGCCATGGGTGTCGCGTTCTGGGTTCAACGGAGGGCTACAGGACCTCTTGGCTCATAGCTCGCGGCTCAGTATAGGGGAACTCAGCGGCTTGGTGAATTTCCACCAAAACCCTAGCATATTTTTTTTTTTTATATATTTTTTTCAATTCAATTAAATTCAACTGCGTATAATAATTCATAGTAATATCACAATATCAATTCACATTATTTAACAAGATTATGAATATAATGCATACACAATTTATGTAGAATATAAAATTAAAAAAACATAAAGTTGGGTCATGCATTATGGTGAATGTTCATGCTATCAGGGCTACAAAAATATCAAGATAAAAATCGTTATTTTGGAAGAACCTGATTGCGTGATGATATTGATGAACTGGTTTGAAGCAGAAAATTATTTCTTCAATTTCGACTTTCCATCTCCGAAGCTTGTATCACGTTCAACATAAGAAAAATAAATTGAATCAATAAAAGTATATGAATTCAAGAAAATCAAAATTTAATCAATTAAAATAATTGAAACGTAATATTCCCTTTATTGAATACGAATAAATTATTTTTAGCACATCGTGAAGAGCGTGCTGATAACGTGTTGTGGCCTATATTTAATTGACAGGGGTGCGTCATAGAGATAAAGAGAGTGGGGAATAGGCTTGAGGAATTGTGTGTTAATTCCCCATTCCTTGTGTCTTTATTTATAGTAATAAGGATGAGAGAAACTTGCTTTCCAAGTAATACAAAGTCTATTAGGAAAGATCTTCTAGATCCCAAAGGATTCCTAAGTGGAGATAGATTAGGAATCCTTTAGGATATGTTTTTAGGCCTTGATTGGATCTAGAAGTAGTCCATGTGTAAGAAAATAAAAAGTATTATATATATATATATATGTGTGTGTGTGTGTGTGTATACACATGCATTAAGTTATAATTAATAATGTAAACTTACATTTTCTTTTGTCTATAATATTCCTTGATTTTTTTCTTGTGTCATCTTCAAGTAACTTGTACGCCCAGCTTTTCCTTTATTTGCTTTGGCTTCTTTGCAGGTTTCTTTGCAGTTTCTTTAGCGATGGGATTCAAGGGTGATTGAACCTTTGGTTGCTCCTTTTCTTTCTCAATGGTTGGCTTTGTGACAGAACAATTGAAGGGCTTTCACTGTCATTCACAGCATAAATGTATTTGGCCTTCTTTTGTTTTTTCTGGATGGGTATATAGTCATAGTATGGATCGACATTTGGTTTACAATCATCCCTCTTCCGTATATTTTTTTACTAGTGTTCTGGTCTTCTTCTTGGCAGTTTCTGTTTCTTACTCTTCAAGATCCTTGCTAGTTGGGGTATGCATTTCAACATCTTGTTGAACTCCAGATGTCTCTTTTGTAGTGGCAGTGTCTTTTTCTTCATGTTCTTGATCCTCCTTAGCTTGATTCTCAATTTGGACATCATTGTGAACAACTTTTTCATTTTCATCTGGATCAAAATAAGTTGCATGCTCTTGTGAAATTTATAAGACAAAATTCATGCTTTTAAAACTATAGTTCGTGTTTCTTACCAAAATAAGGACAATGCATTTGCTTGTTGTTGATTCTCCTCCATTTTTCTTCTTTTTCTTTGATTTGTCAATCATTTTAAACAAGTAGTCTCTCACTCCTTTTGCTCATTTATATTTGTTGATTTGGTCCAATGCCCCACAAATTGTTATGAAGCTTCATGTGATGTATGTTCCAAAGGTTGCAAATAAGAGGGATTGGATGAGATGCGCACATATGATTGAAGCAGTAGCTTTCGCCCCTTCAGGAGTTTGGTCTAGGAGTGATTTTTGGTACGCTTAAAGAATTTCCTTTTTTTTCACTATTTTTTGTTCTTGAAAATATGTTTTGACAAAGTTGTCCTCCATATCCTTGGTGGATTTGTCTGTGTTTGGTAGTTCCACTCCTTGGTTGTTCAATCCAAAGATTTGAGCAATATCTTCACTTGTTATTCATCTTGGCTCATGATCTTCGAATTTGAACTTTTGTTGCTTAGAGTCATAGCATTGTATAATCTTGATCAAATCCATATCAGACTTCCTTTTTCTTTCCGTTGCAATGATGACATCATCCATGTATAACTTAATAAGACTCCAAAATGATGTCTTGCCCAATTGATTGCAGACATCATGGCGTTCTTGAAGCATTAGCTTGTACAATTATATTGAATTTGCAAATCCAAAAATATTGCACTTGTATTGCACATATGAAGTTGGAGGTCTTTTCTTCTTTTTCTTATCTAGACTCTTTTTTGTGAAGTCTTCATTCTGGGTTTCTTGGCTCCCTCCATCTGTAAGAATTAACATAGTTTAATTATTACAAGTATTTTTGTACCTATATCAAAATATGCCACAATTTTTTACTATGAAAGTGAACTATGAAACCACACTAATTCCGAATTCACATCAAAATAGGTTACACTGTTTATCAAATAGAACCAAAATAAAACTATGCTATTTCTTAAATTAGAACAAAATTACACCAGAGTACTTGTGATACTGAACTAGAAATCTAAAGTATTGAATGATCTATATCTTAATAGACCACACTATTTATCAAAGTGAACTAGAAAATTGAACTATTTATTGATCTATATATGAATAGATCACAACTAGAAAACCACATTGATGCTGGATCCACAGCAACATGACCAAACTATTTATCAATCAAAATAACTTAGAGCACTTACGAAACTTAATTTAAAAGACTGAAGTATTGATGGATCCACATCAGAATAGGGCATGTTATATAAGAAAATGAACTAAAACACCACATTGATTTTGGATCCATACTGTTTATCAAACAGAAACAAAAAAACTATACTGTTTCTGGAACCACTGGAATAGAATGTTGATTATTGTTTATCAATAAGAATTTCTAGGTTCGTACATGTATTTCTCCGATTTTGCTTTTCAAATTTTTTGTTTTTCGTCTTTGTTTTGAGAAATTCTAGATTTGATGTGTAGATTATTGTTTGAAAACTTGAATCGAACTTGAAATTGGTTTGAGAACTTGAGGTTTAGCAATGGAATGGATTTCTGGTTCGATTTTTTGTTGCTGTTTAAAGGAAGTGGTTGGTGTTTTGATATTAACGACGTTGGAGGGATGAATGAATTTTGTAACTGCTAGTTTCGCTAACAGGCCTGGGTTAGGCCCCATTAGGGGCATTTTTGAAATATTAATTGTTATGCGTTTGAGACTTTTTGTTGAGCCCGTGTGTTTTAGTTTTTGTATAACCAGAGGCATAAGTTTTGTGTACTTATGATTAAAATTTAAACCTTTTCTGTTAAATAATAGTTTAAGGTTGTTTTTTATTAAATAAAAGTGAGCCAAGCCCTTTTTTTTTAACGCTTCCTTTTTTTTTTTATAAGTTTGCTTGAGTGACAATACAGCTGCAAACATAAAAGAAACCCAAGAGGTTTGGCAGCTTAATTTCTTCTCCTCAGCGAAGCGCCCAATCTCGTTTCTACTCACCTTCCCCACCGCAGAGCGCCTGCGATGACGACTGAGACAGAAGACGCCGTACGACGTCGCACAGCGGTTGCCGACTACCGCAAAAGGTTACTCCAGCACAAGGAGCTGAAATCCCGAGTCCGCGCAGGTCAGATTCACTCCCAAACCCTAATCCCCTTTTGCAGTTAACAAACCAAATTGTCCCAATTAGTAACCTTTAATGTGCTCGCCCTTTTAGGGTTTCCATTCCGATTTTCAATTGAGCGATTCAGTTCTGATTTTGTTATCTATTTTTTCAAATGTATTCGATTTCCTTTTTTTGGGGCTTTCTGTATGTTATGGTTATGGTAACCGCGAAATTGAGATGCTTTGAAGAATTTGGTTGGGTCAAGAAATTGAATTTTTGCAATGGGATGGTGTGCAGTGAGAGAGAACTTGCGGGCTGCGAAGAAAGAATTTGGGAAAACTGAAGATGATTTGAAGTCCCTTCAAAGTGTTGGACAGATTATTGGTGAAGTTCTCAGGCCTCTTGATAACGAACGCCGTAAGTAATTTGTTTGCTTAATGCTTGCTTCATGGTCTAAAATTTGATAGTTGGAAACCTTTTTGAGTGTAATTTTTTTTGGGCTTATCGGTGTGAGAACTGCTAAAGTAATTGATCTTTGATTTTATTGACTCAGTAATTGTGAAGGCAAGTAGTGGCCCGAGGTACGTCGTTGGGTGTCGCAGTAAAGTTGACAAAGAAAAACTAACCGCTGGAACGCGTGTTGTTTTGGATATGACTACCTTGACTATCATGCGGGCTCTACCCAGAGAAGTAATTATCATCCGATTATTTGTTAAAAGTTTGACACTTTATTCAGCTAGTCATGAACATTCTTTGTGAAGGTTGATCCGGTTGTATATAACATGCTTCATGAAGATCCTGGTAATGTTAGCTACTCAGCCGTCGGAGGACTATCTGATCAAATCCGAGAGCTTAGGGAGTCTATTGAACTGCCTCTAATGAACCCTGAGCTCTTCCTTAGGGTGGGGATCAAACCTCCCAAGGTAATTTTTATATGTTGTTGGCGTTCTTCATATTAACCTGATGCTTTTAGAAACCTAGAAACTTAGAATTTTATATACAACTTTTCTTCTCTTATTTTACTTTAAATTGTTCCAGGGTGTTCTTCTGTATGGACCTCCGGGAACAGGGAAGACATTGCTAGCCAGAGCAATTGCTAGCAACATAGATGCTAACTTTCTTAAGGTTAATTATTCTTTTCTGTAGCAACTTGTATATCACATTATAAGTTTTCTTGCTGCATATTGTGGTACTCATATCTTTGAATAAGACTAGAATCATTTTTAGTTGTTTCCAACTTATCTTTAATATTGGATACTATTATTCCTGGTGTAGGTTGTATCAAGTGCCATTATTGACAAATATATCGGTGAAAGTGCAAGATTGATAAGGGAAATGTTTGGTTATGCCCGTGATCACCAGGTAGGAGCTTGAATATTACTTCTAATTTTAACATTAAATATTCCTATTCAAAAACATACTTATTGTGTTGACTTTGTGTCTAGCCATGTATCATTTTTATGGATGAGATCGATGCTATTGGAGGACGGCGTTTTAGTGAAGGGACTAGTGCAGACCGAGAAATTCAGCGAACACTCATGGAGTTGCTTAATCAGTTAGATGGGTTTGATCAGCTCGGAAAGGTATGTAGGTTTTGGTTGAAATCAAGCTTTATTTTTTTGGTTTGGTCATAACAAACAAATGTAAACACATTTATCTAGTCATGCTTGTACAAACTGATAATGCCATAAAAGTAGATCATATCTTGGCATGGATGATGGATGTCATTTGTTTCATTTCACAGGTGAAAATGATCATGGCAACCAATAGGCCTGATGTACTGGATCCAGCACTTCTCCGCCCTGGGCGACTAGACCGCAAGATAGAGATCCCATTGCCCAATGAGCAATCAAGAATGGAAATTCTCAAAATCCATGCTGCTGGGATAGCCAAACATGGGGACATTGATTATGAGGCAGTTGTGAAGCTTGCTGAGGTAAGCATGAATATAATTATATTTATAATAAAAACAGGGCGACTCCAAACTGACAAGGCTCCCCACTTTGCAAGGATCGTGGGTTTTGTGTGTGTTTACACGACTCGAACCCGTGACCTTTCGGTTACAAAGGAGCAACCTCTCCATTGCGCCAAGGCTTGCCCTCATTATATTATATTTATATCAAAATATTTTATTAGATGCTTTCCGTGAATGATTTGATGCATTGTCTTCATTTCAGGGTTTTAATGGAGCTGATCTCCGTAATGTCTGCACTGAAGCTGGGATGTCTGCGATCCGTGCTGAGAGGGATTATGTCATCCATGAAGATTTCATGAAGGTATGTGTTAAATAGAGTACTGATGTTATACTCGATTAAAAAATGATGATTAATGAGGTGGAAATGTGGCTTGAACTACATGGGTTATGGTCTCGGTAATGTAGCATGAAATCAATAATGGTCATCCTGAAAATTATGGAATCCAAGAATGTCATTGGTGGTGTTTGGGGTTGTCTGTTTCTTGTTGTTCTAGGTCACTATCTGTGTAGGAGGTGCCTAACCATGCACCTGAAGAAAGCAACTAGATACAAGTCATATGCTTTATTTTGTTTACTGGGGAAAAGTAATTAGTTGGATTTTACAAGGATTTACGAGCTAATAAATTTCAGAAGTCCAATGGCTTGGCTCTGTTTGTCACCTAGGGGGTTCGACTACCTACTCTCTTAAACGTTGTCGAACCCTAAGACCTGTCAAGTAAGAGAATGATAGTGTGCTACAAAAGTCAAAGTGGTGTCATATATTTGGTTCTGTAGCCTACAGTTTGTTGCTTGGCAATGTTTCGGCACAGGGCATATAAATAACCCTTTTTGGTATCTTGATTCTAAGTGTTATATTTTTATATTTCAGGCTGTACGGAAACTGAATGAGGCCAAGAAACTCGAATCTAGTGCCCACTACAACACAGATTTTGGGAAAGAATGAAACTGAATTTGAACTTTGAACCTACCCGAAGAGTTAATTAAGAGTAAAAACTGCTATCATGTGCTGGATGTTGTGCTCTATTTTCTTGATGAGATGTGGGGATGGTGGTACCGCAATATGGCTTCCAGGAATGTGTTTACCACCAGACTCACATTACGAATTGTATTCTGAATCGAGCCGTTGTTTAGTATTATGATTCTCGAACATTAAATTGTCTCTTGCTTAGTTTACTGTGGTTTTAAGATGCTTTTCGTGCATATGATTAAATCAAATTTTAAACTATGATTTTGTACCTTTATACTAATTATTAACAACAAATAATAACTGCTACATTTATACTTTGTGCTCGCCAATAACTGGTTTGTGCACTCTTAACTTGTTCTTCCTGATTGCTATTGTATAATTGTTTGTGTATCTTCAAAATGTTTGAATCAACTTGTGGCCCCTTTATTTGTTATAGTGTAACACCCGTTGGACCTTCCATCGAAACTAAAGGCTTTAAAGCAGCAAATAATGGACGGAAGTTCCAGCGGAGTTATTCAACAGAATTATTGCTTCACAGTATGACAAATTTATGGATCAATACTTATGAATTTTTAGTTCAGCCAATAAAGCTCCAGTTTGACTAAAGTTCAAAGACTAGTGCCTCAATTTTGCCGATCAAAATTCAACTGCCTTTCATATTTATTCTTTCTTGCACTTCACTCGAAGGCCTCGAAAATTCTCTCCAGACCGGAGACGGTTCAAATCCTCAAACTGTTTCAAAGTTACGGTAAAAGAAACTTGGCAAGTCCCTCACCCTCTAGAGATGATTTTGACTCGACCCTGCATTCGTGTCATGTTTTTCATGTTCGTATCGTTTTCATGTCATACTGGATATCTTAACGAGTCGTGTCGTGTAATACCTGTTAAAATAAACAGGTAAAATGACCCGATCCAATAATATTAACAGATAATATGATCAGACCCGTTACCCGTTAAGGAAAATATATTTTAAACCAATAAATAATCAAATGAAAAACATAATACTGAATAAGTATATATATATACTAACACACCCCGACTTGAAAAGGTCAAAGCATGCTGGCCGTCACCGTGAGGTGACGTAATCATAAGGGTAAGTGATGTAAAAAGTGAATAAATTTAAAACTAATTAGAACTAATTATACTAAACGGTGAAAGAGTGTGCAATCGTGCGAAGAACCCACTACAATTATTTAGAGCGTAATAGACAGTGAGACTACAGAAGAGTAGTCAAAGTAACTAAAGTACACTTATTACATAACAGTGATAAGTTCGTACGTCTAAATAGAAGAGAATATCAAAACTGCCGAGATTCTTCGAGTGCCACAAAGAGTATAGCTATCTAGGTCCTGGATGTGCGAAAAACAAAGTTGAGTGGGTCAGCAAAACAATGCTTATACGAAATCCTTTATTTTCGATTATACTAACCCCTCGCCATAAAACAAGTATAGTTTCCTTAAAACATACTATATAGGTATGTAAACAATAAATCAACAACATTATAACCACGATTATGCCAAGTCATGATGTGTTAAATGCCACAGTAATAATCATGTGATAATCAAGTATAGCTAAATTCTCATCTATCTAGGCTGACACACAAGTTCGAATAGATAATTTTTAATACGAACAGGATTGGGTATAATCAATATGCTCTAGTATTACGATCGTGTGAAAGTTGGTGCAGAAGAACGGTCACATACAAGTCGTATTGCCTAATGCAATTTACCTGACAGGACTGGCATCTAAGTTGGATCCAAGACGAGCGAACGGTGTGATGTGAACATACACGTGAAGGACTGGCCCTGGCCTTGGGCGAGTACTTACACCGAGGTGCAGCAAGATGAGCATGTACAAATATGTATGAATGTCATGACAGTAATATCTCAATCATATAGCAGCATTTATCACAATTATATCGCAGTTATCAATTATTTGGCAATATATACGCAAAGTAATGTATTTATGCAATTTTGAAAACTATAAACACATATAGATATAAAAATAAACTGCCAACTCACAAGTACATCGCTGGGTCGTAACCCCCAAGCCTAGCTTGGCCTCGAACGTCCTCGGGATACGTATCCCCTATATGTGAAATAACTAAAATAGAATTAATTAAAGCACATATACGGAATCCTAAATAAAACCTCCATAGTTTGCTCAAACCTAGGGTTTATATATACCATTGTGACCTACTCGATGTCACGAACATCTCCAAATTTTTAAAATAATTTTTGGACGGCTCACGCGCCCCTTCGTTAGGAATATTTCATTAAATGCTAACAGAAGTTAACGGCATTACCTGACGCCGTTTGGAATATTCCGTTAACTCTGAAGGAATATTTCGTCTCCTCCTCCGGTGGTCCTTACCGTCGCCGCAGTCCACCGTCGTTTGCAACTTGATTTTTCGCCGGATTTCTGGAAAAATTTCAAACTCACTATTCTCTTTCATTTCTCAACCATTTTTTATGTACTTTATATGGATTTGAAGCTCGTGAAGAGTAGAATCGCGTTGTACCTGTTTGAAGTCCAAAAAGTGGATGGAGGTCGCTAGAAAAAAGCCTCAAAAGTTCTGGCCAAAAGTAAACTCTTCGAAACTCGGTCGTTTCACTTCCAAATTTCTCCCAAATTGTAATAGGAGCCTCGAGGAGTTGCGTAGAAGCTTCCCCAAGCTTCAAAACTTCCTAACTCGCTCGAAAACACATCAAACTCAGTTTGTCCGAGTTCGGACCTCACGAGTTCGACATTGAAAACTTGTCAATTCCAGGTTTCAAGAACATGGTTATGTTCGTGAGGATGAGATGAACACGAAAATGAGGTTCTTGGGTTCGATCTGTGAGCTTTGAAGCTCATTTAAGGGTTTGTAGAGAAGAAGAGAGCTTCGAGAGGGGGAGAGAGAGACAAGGAAGAGAGAGAAAGAGAGAGAGAGAGAGAGTCCATTTTTCTCTTTTTCTGATTGGTGGACAGAAATGAGGGAATGGATGGGATTGGTGGAGTGCACAAGATGGGCTAAATAAAAGCTAGGGATAGGGTTTTGGATTTTGTACAGAAAAGAGTATCGAAAATCTATTCGCACTAGTGTTTTCACACTAATAAAATTTACGTACACTCATAACAACGTGTGCAATTTAAATGCTATTGCGAGAAATAAAATAAAAGTGATATGAATACGTCCACGTCATTTGTCAATAAAGGCATAACCGTCAATACACATACTTGGTGAGAAATTACATAGGAAAATTAAGGACGGGTTGTCACAATCTACCATCTTATAAAATTTCATCCTCGAAATTTCAACACTGACTACAAATCAAAGCCATAAAACAGACATGGATACATATCTTGCATACGCTCTTTTGTCTCCCAAGCAGCTTCCTCCACTAAATGGTTCCTCCACAAAACTTTCACCATCTGCACGGTCTTGTTCCTAAGAACCTTATCCTTCCAATCAAGGATAGTCACTGGAACCTCATCATAGGTCAAATCTGGATTGATCTCTAATGGCTGAGAAGGGATCACATGAGACAGCTCAGAGACGTACCTTTGTAGCATCGATACATGAAACACATTGTGCATTCTCGCCAACTCTGGTGGCAAAGTGAGTTGATAAGCAACTTCGCCAACTCGTTCAACTATCTGGTATGGTCTGATGTACCTAGGGCTAAGTTTCCCTTTCTTGCCAAATCGCACAACACCTTTCCACAACGATAACTTCAAGAATACCCAATCACCAACCTTATAAACTCTGTCAGTAGAATGTCTGTTTGTGATACTCTTCTGCCGATCCTGGGCCTCTTTCAGGTTAGCCTTTATCACCTGAATGTTCTGTGTCATCTCATCCACGATCTCAGGGCCTACCAAAACTCATTCATCGACCTTGGACCAATAAAGTGGAGTACGACATGATTTCCCATACAACGCTTCAAATGGTGCCATACCAATACTAGAATGGAAGCTGTTGTTGTACGCGAACTCTATCTACAGTAAACGCTTGTGCCAAGCATCTCCAAACTGTAGAACTGAGGATCTCAACATATCTTCCAAAGTCTAGATAGTTCTCTCTGACTGCCCATCAGTTTGAGGATGATAGGCGGTGCTGTAGAATAATCTCGATCCCAAAGTTTCCCAAAACGCTACCCAAAACTTTGAAGTAAATCAGGGATCCCGGTAAAAAATAATACTAATTGGAACCCCATGGTATTTAAACACTTCAGAGATGAACCGTTCCGCTAACTGACTTAACGAGTAATTTTCACGAACGATTATGAAGTGTGCTAATTTGGTAAGCCGATCAATTATCACCCAGATACCATCATAACCATTTCGAGTATGAGGTAATTTGTACACGAAATCCATTGTAATATCTTCCCATTTCCACTGAGGTATCAGGAGTGGTTGTAGCAATCCAAATGGCTTTTTCCTTTCTGTCTTAACCTGCTGGCAAACTACACAACGACTAACATACTCTGCAATTTCTCTTTTCATACCTAGCCAATAATAGAGGTGTCAAATGGTATGGTACATCTTGGTACTCCCTGGATGCATCGCATAAGCAGAAATTTGCGCTTCATCCAATATGTCTCTCTTTAGTTCCGCAACATTAGGGACTGATAAGCTCATATTTATATATATTTTACATAAAATTCACTTTTCTTTTCTTATTTAGTTCCTTATATTTTTGAGCTATTTACTATGTTTTTGTGTTTTGTGTGATTTATCAAGCAAAGAAAAGAAAAGTAGCACAAGTGAGTTACTAAGTAACAAATTCGTCAAAACTGCCTGTGCAGATTAGCTGACTTTGGAAGCATGTTACGAACAGCTCAGAATGAATGAGAGAATGAGACTTATATGCTTGGAAAGCTACGGATGTCTATTTGTTGGAGCAATTTACTGATTGTTAATATCATTTTTCTAGAAGAAGTTATGGGCATTGTAACACTGAAAGGTTCAGAAAAGGGCTAAGCAGATTTGGCTAATAAAGTGAGAAAGTAAAGGCACTTGTTTTGTGTTTTGCTTTGTCATCAACACTCAGCAGCAAATGGGGTTATGATTGCACTCATTTGGCTTTGGAGCAAGTGGAAATGCACAGCTAGAAGATGAACAAGGCACATGGAAGAAACATGGACATCACACACACAAAGAGAAAGGCATGGCATGGACAGTTTGACATGGGCAGAAAATGGGTGGATTGTTGGCTGAAATAATGAAGAATATGTGTGTGCAAATGCAAAGGAAAAACACACACACATGGGCAAAGGAAACACACACACATGGGTAGAAATGGGTTGATTTGTGGCTGAAATGATGGAGGTCATGTGTGTGCAAATGTAAAGGGAAACATGGACATCACACACCCATACAAACTGCACATGCAAGGAATTGAAGTGGTCATCTCCTTAGCCTATAAATACATCCACCATTCCCCTTCCTAAAGACAATCTTGATCCATCAAAAGAGCTTCATTAACAAACACAATTTCCTTGTAGTGACCTCCATCCATTCATCTAGCCATACTACATCTCACCAATCCATACACTTTCATCTCTTAGCCGTGCAAATCCATTCCATCCATTCATCTAGCCATACTACATCTCACCAATCCAACACTATCATCTCTTAGCCGTGCAAATCCATTCCATCCATATATCCATACACATCCTAGACACTTGTGCTACAACAAGGTGGTGAAAACAAAGGTCCTTGGCGTTTCAAGCTTGGAACTTTGGAGCATTTTAGGTGTACTTCGTTCTTGCTTTCAATGTCTACTTTGTTATTTTCTAATTTTGTTGCAATTATGAGTGGCTAAACCCCTATTTAGTTAGGGGGAAGTTTGAAGCCATGAACATGCTTGAGATTTGAATTGATTTCTTCCAATTGTGATTTGATAAGTTGTGATTGCAATTCAATTATCTATTTTATTCATAACTGATTCTTGTATGTTTATTAAGGATGCATACTTAGTTTTCATGCATGAATTAGATGCTAGAATATAAATGAGTTTCACCTAATCGTTACAAGTTTATATTCATGAGTAGTGAAGGTTGTTTATCACAATCGCGTTAATTGAATTCTTGGCAATTGTATCATGCATTCATAGTTATAATTGCCTCGTCAACACTTATGATTTTCATTGAACGTAATGATCTCTGATTGTATCTCTATTATGCATTCATATAGGGGACTTTTAGAGAATGATTTGGATTGTCGCATGCATTCATCCAATTCAATGAGTAAAGGAAAATTTGAGGGTTAATTTGTGCATCACGGTTAATCTGGGGTGTTGAGCATCATAGTTTATTGAAAAGCAATTGGAAATCGATTCATGTACAAGTGTGTCATGTGTGAAGAACAGACCTCTAACTAATCCATCCATCATTTTATTTCTCAAATTCATTTTATAATCTGCCTAGTTTTATAACTTGCTTGTTTATTTCAAATTCATCCAAATCAAAACCCCCATTTTACTTTCTTGTTCCAAAGTGTTTAAAATCTGTTTTGTTTTTGTTTTAGAGTGTTTTGATTTAAGTCAAAACACTAAATTCGTCCAAAGTTGTGTTAGAGTCAAAATCTGCCCATTTTGTGTTTTTTAGGCAGTTTTGAGTGTTTTTAAGTTGTTTTGAGTCTAGTGAACTTGTTTTGAGTCTTTTGAGTCTATTCAAACGTCTTTAACTTTGTTTTTATGTTTTTGAGTTAGTTTAGAGGTTTTAGCAAGCCCTCATAATCCCCGGTTTAGAACGATCCCTACTTGCATTTATACTACAATTTGACAATAAGAGGATTTAATTTGAGTGCTTAACTTTCATCGCATCAGGTACATACATCCGATCACTTTGCATAAGCATGCCGTCAGGATCCTTAATCTAGAGGTCCTTCTTTTTCCCATCTAACACTCCCAGTATCAATTCCTGAGATTCTGTATCGTTCCTCTAGGCTTCGAGAACACGATCCAACAGAATCGGTCTGACCTGAAAATTGGCAATTTGGGCCCCTCGTCGACCCTCTTTCAATGCTACACCAGTGGATCTTAGGTCAGTCAAAAGAGGAATGCGACTAGCATAAAGAGCATTAAGTTGGCCATGAGACTTCTTACTAAGAGCATTAGCTACTGAATTTGCACAACCTGGGCGATACTCAATGGTGCAGTCATAATCACTGAGCAACTCTACCCATCTCCGTTGCCAGAGATTGAGATCTAGCTGAGTGAAGATATACTTAAGGCTCTTATGATCAGTGAAGATCTTACACTTTTCCCCATAAAGATAATGCCTTCAAATTTTCAAAGCAAAGATGATCGCTGCCAACTCGAGATCATGAGTAGGATAGTTCCTCTCATGGGGCTTTAACTGCCACGATGCATATGCAATCACCTTATCATGCTGCATTAACACACATCCAAGACCATTAAGAGATGCATCACTGTAGATCTCGAAGTTCCCACCATCATCAGGAAATGCTAAGACAGGTGCATGAGTGAGAAGGTACTTCAACTGCTGGAAATAGGATTAGTACCTGGAAGTAGATCGATGGTGAACTTCACTTCACGATCTGGGGGTAAGCCAGGTAATTCCTCAAGAAAAACATCGGGAAAGTGCCTAACTACTCCGACGTCCTCCACAGATGCAGTAGTCTATTCCGATAGCACAACATGAGCTAAGTAGCCTTGATAACCTTTACTCAACAGTCATCTCGCCCTCATGGCAGTGATAACTCCGTGCTTTAGACCACCACGTTCACCAATAAATGTGACAGTTGGCATTCCCTGTCGGTGAAAAGTAATAACCTTCTCATAACAATCCAACTTGGCATGATTGTAGTGTAACCAATCCATGCCTAAGATAACGTCAAAATCAACGATATCCAAAGGGACAAGATTAGCTGACATGACTACATCTTCAACAGGGATGGGACATCCTTGATATTCCCAACAAACATAACATATTTCACCCTTAGGCATCGAGAATTCCAACTCGGAGCCGAGTGAAGTAGGATGTGGTTGAGTCGTTTGAGCAAACTTATGGGAAGTAACTGAATGTGTAGTACCAGAATCAATTAAAACTTTAGCAAAATGGCCTTGAACATTCAATGTACCCATGATCAAGTCCGAATTTGCTTGAGCATCCTGAAGGGTGATGTTGTTGACTCTTCCCTGAACTTGCTGCCTGCCTCCACGACCCCTATTTGCTTGAGTCTGATTACCTCAACCCTGATTACCTCGGCCCTGCTGGGGTAGATTTTCCTGTCTTCCTGAACCTCCACTGTTAGACGCTACGTCTAGATTCTGATATTGTCCTCCAGTATACATCTGTGCTCCACCACCCTGATACGGTGTATAGTCTCCCTGAAACTGTGGATAACCTCCTTGAGTCTGCTGATAGCCTCCCTGATAGTAGGGAACCTCAGGTGTGTATTGGTATAGCGTATCTGCTGACGATTACCAGGTGCTGGAAACTGCTGTAAGGGGACTGCAGGTGGTAGATTAGCAGACTGATTCTTCTGATTCTGAGGACAATTATAGGTCATAGGCCTTGTTTGTCCGCAAGTGAAACATCCTCTGCTTCCTCTCTTACACTTACCATAATGACGGGTGTTACACCTGTGACAAAACTGAACACCTGAACTGCTGGAGTTTTCTTGATTCTGAAAACGAGAACCACTAGCAGACCTGCCTCATCTCTGAGGTGTACCAGAGTTAGAACCCCCGCTCAACGATCCAGAGCTGTTTCCACTCATTTTAAAATTATGAGCCCTTCTCTGGCCAAATGACGATAGTCCTCTGTTACTGTACCTCTGGCCATTCCTACCGACATCCTCATCCTCATTGTCAAGAGCATTCTCTGAATTTTCAACCCGAAGCAAGACCTCGAAGAAATCCTGATATGTAGCACAGAGAGTAGTGGTTGCCATAGAACGCCATTTCTTGCAAGTTCCTCTCTTAAACAGACGAAGCATCTCTCGGGGATTAGCAACAATCTCGAGGCAATAACGAGATAAGTTTGTGAACTTTCGATGATACCCAGTAGCTGACATCTTACCCTACCTCAGATCTGAGAACTCATCCTTCTTACGATCCAAATACTCCGGAAGAACAAATCTGGTCTGAAATTTCCGCTTGAAAACATCCCAATTCATAGCATCCTCATCGGATAATGATTTCTTCTCCTGATCCCACCAAGATTCTGCTCCCAAACGAAAGAACTAGGCTGTTGTCTCAATCCATCTCTCTAGGGGAAGATTACCATGCCTATGCATAACTCGAAAGGTCTTCTCAACATGATCGAACCATATCTCTAACTTCTTTGATCCATCATTACCAAAGAAATCATTAATCATCAGGCGAGGTACAATATCCAACGTATTCCTTGAGGTAGGGCGGAGTGAAGATTGAATAGCATTGGTAATAGCCTCACTAAACTGTCCAAAGTCTGTAAAGTTATTCTCAGCTAGAGAACATGGCTCTCTACGAGGTGGCATGGTTCTGACATAAGAAAATAAGGGTTAAAACATACTAGGAAATGCAGGACTGTCTAAACCTATGCTCCGATACCAAGCTGACACACCCCGACCTGGAAAGGTCGAAGCATACTGGCTGTCACCGTGAGGTGACTTAACCATAAGGGTAAGTGATGTAAAAAGTGAATAAATTTAAACTAATTAGAACTAATTATACTAAACGGTGAAAGAGTACGCAATCGTGGGAACAACCCACTATAATTATTCAGAGTGTAATAGACAGTGAGACTACAAAAGAGTAGTCAAAGAAACTAAAGTACACTTATTATATAACGGTGATAAGTTCGTACGTCTAAACAGAAGAGAATGTTAGAACTGCCAAGATTCCTCAAGTGCCACAAAGAGTACAGCTATCTAGGTCCTGGAGGGGCAAAAAACAAAGTTGAGTAGGTCAGCAAAACAATGCTTATACGAAATCCTTTACTTTCAAATATATTAACCCCTCGCTGTAAAACAAGTAGAGTTTCCTTAAAACACACTATATAGGTATGTAAACAATAAATCAATAGCATTATAACCACAATTATGCCAAGTCATGATGTGTTAAATGCCACAGTAATAATCATGTGATAATCAAGTATAGCTAAGTGCTCATCAATCTAGGCTGACACATGAGTTCGAACAAATAATTTCTGACACGAACATGACTGGGTGTAATCAATATGCTTTAGTACTACGATCACGTGAAAGTTGGTGCAGAAGCACAATCACATACAAGTCGGATTGCGTAATGCAATCTACCCGACAGGACTGGCACCTAACTTGGATCTAAGACAAGCGAACGGTACGATGTGAACATACATGTGAAGGACTGGCCTTGGCCCTAGGGCAAGTACTAACACCAAGGTGGAACAAGATGAGCATGTACAAATATGTATGACTGCCATGACAGTAATATCTTAACCATATAGCAGCATTTATCACAATTATATCGCAGTTATCAATTATTTGGCAATATATACGCAAAGTGATGTATTTATGCAATTTTGGAAACTATAAATACGTATAGATATAAAAATAAAATGCCCACTCACAAGTACGTCGCTTGATCGTAACCCTCGAGCCTAGCTTGGCCTTGAACGTCCTCGGGATATGTTTCCCCAATATGTGAAATAACTAAAATAGAATTAATTAAAGAACATATATGGAAACCTAAATAAAACCTCCATAGTTTGCTCAAACCTGGGGTTTATATATACCATCGTGACCTACTCGACGTCACGAACATCCCCAAATTTTTAAAATAATATTTGGACAACTCACGCACCACCACACGCCGTCAAGGGCACGGACCGACGCGCCCCCTCATGCAGGCCGGTGCCTGAAGTCCATCAAGAATATTCCACGGAATATTCCGTTAAATGCTAACATAAGTTAACGACGTTACCTGATGCCGTCAGGAATATTCCGTCAACTCTGATGGAATATTCCGTCTCCTCCTCCGGTTGTCCTTGCCTTCGCTGCCGTCCACTGCCGTCTGCAACTTGATTTTTCGTCGGATTTCTGGAAAAATTTCAAACTCACTATTCTCTTTCATTTCTCAACCATTTTTGACGTACTTTATATGGATTTGAAGCTCGTGAAGAGTATAATCATGTTATACCTGTTTGGAGTCCAAAAAGTGGATGGAGGTCGCTAGAAAAAGCCTCAAAAGTTCTAGCCAAAAGTGAACTCTTCGAAACTCGGTCGTTTCACTTCTAAATTTCTCCCAAATTGTAGTAGGAGCCTCTAGGAGTTGCGTAGAAGCTTCCCCAAGCTTCAAAACTTCCTAACTCGCTCGAAAACACATCGAACTCAGTTTGCCCGAGTTCGACGTTGAAAACTCATCCATTCCAGGTATCAAGAACATGGTTATGTTCGTGAGGATGAGATGAACACGAAAATGAGGTTCTTAGGTTCGATCTGTGAGCTTTGAAGCTCGTTTGAGGGTTTGCAGAGAAGAAGAGAGTTTCAAGAGGGAGAGAGAGAAAAGGAAGAGAGAGAGTCCATTTTTCTTTTTTTTCTGATTGGTGGACAGAAATGAGGGAATGGATGGGATTGGTGGAGTGCACGGGATGGGCTAAATAAAAGCTAGGGATAGGGTTTTGAATTTTGTACAGAAAAGAGTATCGAAAATCTATCCAAACTAGTGTTTTCACACTGATAAAATTTATGTATACTTGTAACAACGTGTACAATTTAAATGCGATTGCAAGAAATAAAATAAAAGCGATATGAATATGTCCACTTCACTTGCCAATAAGGGCATAACCGTCAATACACATACTCGAGGAGAAATTACATAGGAAAATTAGGGACGTGTCGTCACATATACTATATTGTCACATCCAAAACATAAAAAAAAACATTAGAACATTATAAAATATCAAATGTTCAAAAGATTTGCAAAATTAAGGACATTGGAACCTTGCACATTTTTCTTTAATAATTTTTTAATTAATGTACAAGTGTAAAAAATATATAAAAAAATATATAAACACTCGTAATGACAAACTTTACAACTTTTGTGAAAAGCTTAACTTCGAAATTCGACACTATAATCATATAAATCATAGATCAAAATTTAACCATGGATTGTTGTTTACATTTACACTTCATTTTTCTTATCAAATTTTGTTTTTTCGGATTTTCTTTTTTGAAAACATTATCTATTAGAGGATGCAGGAAGATGAACGGTTTGGATCGTTGATATTATGTTCAGAGTTTTACGGTTAGTGAAAATATTGCTTGATGTTTATAAAGTTTCTACAAACTATATGACATCGAATCATATTTCAGTCAATTGTAAATATCGAAACATGATATTAAAGATCTGAACCGTTCATCTTCTTACATCCGCCGGATGATCATATTTTCAAAAAACAAAATTTTAAAAATGAAATTTAGTTAGAAGAATAAAGCGTAAATAACAATTGATGGTTAAATATAAATTTAAGGTTTATGGATTTTTGTGTTGGATTTTGAAGCTGACCCCTTCATGAAAGTTGTAAAACTTGTCACTATGAGTGATTGTATATATATATTTTTTTTTTTGTTTACATTTTTTAGACTTCTACAATAATTATTATTAATTTTATTATTTTTGCCCTCAAATAAAAAACATTATTCATGAGGGTTTGGAGGATTTTAAAAATCTAAACGATAATGTAAGTGTAACCATTATCTACTCGTGGAGAAATATTGATGAATCACGAGTGTTTAAATATTCTTTCACATTTTTCATATTTGTATGTATGTATTCTTAGTTCTTGCCTATACAAATATTATACTAATTTATTTTAATTTTGGACAACATGTTAAGTACAATTTATCCTAGTAATGACAATAAGGAACTCTCATAATAAAAATAAATAATAACTAAAACTTTTTTTTCTATTTTATAACTTATATAGAATAATAATACAAAACTATATATTTAATATAGAATATATTGTATATATTAATATGACTATTGTATTTTATAATAAATCTTTTAGTAATTAAACTTTAAAATTATCAAAATAATTTTTTTCTTAACGGATCAGAACGGTTACCCACGTGTTACCCGCATGTATACCCATTAAGAACCTGATAATGACCCGATTAGTTATCTTGTTGACCCGAAACCTGTTATTTTCATGTCGTGTCATAAACTCCCGGGACTAATTCTAACTCATCAAGTGCAACAATTTGTAAACTACAAGACTAAAATTGTGAAATTTAAACACACTGACTACAATCAAAGTAGCGAAAACCGTGATCTGATCTGCCTTATCCTATAACGGAGACGTGAAAAAGGGACCATTTTTTGTTTCATATCATTCATCAAACAAATTGCAATTTCATATCATTCATTGGACACACTGCAATTACACAAACTCGATTTTGGCACCATTTCACCAGACATGAGAAGCTACAATAAAGTGACAGTCGAGCTGAGCGTTGCCCAGATCTAGCTGAATTAACTGGTCACTTGGATGTTTCAAAATTTTAACACCTCGTTACAAGATAGCTTTCTGTTCTTATTGTGCATCTGGAATTCCTTTGTGTTCCACTTTTCAGGCAATATGCTCTGCCAAACTAAGAATCTTGACATGCTTTTTCTTCCTCAACTCATGCGGGACAGGTCCAAATACTCTAGTCCCGATTGGCTGCCCTTGCTTGTCCACAAGTACCACAGCATTGTCATCAAACTTGACCTCACTCCCATCACAGCGGCCTCGCTGCATGGCAGCACGAACAACCACACCATACACAACCTTTCCCTTTTTCACTTTTCCATTCGGATGGGCCTCCTTTACTGATGCAACAATGGTGTCTCCCAATCTTGCCCCCTTCTTATTTGCCTTCAAAGCTTGTATACACATCACCTTCTTTGCCCCCGAGTTGTCCACGACTTTGAGAACAGTCCTCATCTGTATGAAGGTCCTTTGCTGCTGTAAAAGTGCGCCAAACAAAAACCGACAACTACGAATCAGTCTCATGTCAACACTAAGTAATAAACGAGTCCTCAATTTGAGGTATTTAGCAAAAAATGAAGATAAACACAAGAAACAGTTAGCAGAACTTGGAATTAACTAACAAATGCCTGTGTTCAACAATTGTCCTCAGCAATACCACCAAGACTCTCCATTTAAGCCTGTCAAAACTAGATTTTTTCCTATGAATCTTCCAAACAGCTCAATAAATGGTACCAATCCAACTCTACGAGAAACTCTTAATCCTCTACAACCTCAAATAGTCAAGATTTAAAACCTGTAAAATGTTAGTATTTTACAAGTATAGGTTATAATCTTCAAACAAATATCAGACGAACAAACTGACCTGAGATAAGAAAGTGCTGCTTGCCATCTCATGTGATGCGCTCAATAAGCCAGACAAGTTGTTGCCGAGGCCCCCCAACAATGAACGACCAACTGGATTTGTTTCCAGCAGATTGAATGGATTGCAGTGAGTAAATGGTACGCAAATAATTGCAGAACATAAACCAAAAACGCTTAAACTTAATCCAGGAAAATCAGAAAATTGTGCCACTGCAATATAGCAATATTCTAAGACACGAATTATACAACTCGCACAATGAAACACAAAGACGAAGAATGAAAGAACCACATCTTGAAAAGTGTGGCATCTTTTCAGATGCACGCTCAACTATTTTACATTTGTTATCATGCGAGGTGAAAGCAGCCAATGGATTTAGAATCTAACAGTTGAACAAGAAACAAATGACGTACCCCGTGAACACTTTGAAGCTAAACCTGCTGCCATTCCTCAACACTCAACTTTTACTCTCAACCAAATTGAAAATCTTCTTTTATGCGCTGTTCAGCTGTGTAGAAAATGTTGTTATACAAATCCCCAATATAACTGGAAGCTCAATCGGTTAAGGCCCGGAAAATAAACGCACCAAATTCAAATTGCTTGAAATTAACAAAAACCCATAACCCCAGAAGAAGACGCAACTCAACCATTTCACAAGGAGTGGGAAAGGGGAGTGAGCAGGGTAGTGGCTAATACAACCCCAAATCATGACAACAGATCTGCTAATTCAAAGAAGCCTTGGAGGAATTGGTGCCCCATTTTCTCTAACAAATCAGTCAAACTCAAACCCAATCTGCTATGGAGCCTACCAAGTTCATAGAACCCCAAATCTTCCAATTCTATCTTCCCATTATCCAGTTTAATATTTCAATCTTCCAACAAGAAAAAAATATTGTCGAAATAAGCAGAAATAGAGGTTGAGAGAGAAGCAAATTTACCTTTTGTTGGTGAAGAGTGTTCGAACCAGGTGCGAGGGAGACGAGAGAGCGGCGCCAGAAATTGGAGAGAGTTATGAACGACGCATTAGCTTTAGGAGAGAGAGGGCAGAATTGTCAATGAAAGTTTTGTTAATTGACACAGTTTATCCCGAAAAGCGCTCTTTCGTAAAAGCAAGTCCAGCGTATAAAGGTCCTCCAACTTCCTATTGAATAGCATTAAGTGGACAGTGACTACCTTTTATGAGCAGTAATTATATTTTGCATCTTCGTCCCTAAACTAAATAGTCATGGCAATAATTAATAAAATATTAGTATTTTTTATTTTATAAAATAATAAAAAATAATTTTATTTGTAATTTCATATAAGATTTTTAATTGGTCACGTTGTATTACGTGTCATTAAATAAGAAATTACAACTCAAAGTATTTGAGAAAATATAAAATTGTGATGTAAGTTGGAAGATAATGATAACATATTTATAGAAAAATTAAATCATTTTTTTATAATTTTTAATTTTTTTTTCAGATTTTTTATAAATTTTTTACATTTTTTTATATTTTTAATTAATTTTTTACATTTTTTATTAATTTTTTATATTTTTTAATTAATTTTATATCGTGGTTGACGTCACCCTAGCATCAGCTAGCCCTCAGGCTCTCGGGCCATCGATTCGAGCCGGGCCTCTCATTCGAGCTCCTCCTCAGCCCAATCGCCCACATGGGCTGGAGTAAGGAGCTAAGGCTATTGGGTATGAAATGTCACCGGTCCGTTGGGCTGGAGCTGCTCTATGCTGTCGTGGACTCATAATTTTAAAAGGAAAAAAAAAAACACTTTTTATTTTATTGGGTTAATCTTAGTTTATTATTTTGAAATATTTTGGTTTTCAACATTTGGTATATTAAGTTTTTTTCGTCCAGTCTAGTACATAAAGTCATAATTCTATACCACTTTCATACATCCATTAAGTTTTCCGTTAAATGATGACATGGCATCCACGTGGACAATGATTGTGTGCTACGTGTCAATATCGGCCCACTGGAATATTAAAAAATTAAATTAAAATAAAAAAATTTACCCACCCGTCTCCTACATCACCCCCTTCCATCCCTTCTTTCCTCCAAAACCCCCACCCTGCCTCCCTTCTTTCTGCAACCCACACCCAAATCTCTTACCTCACCTCTGTTAGTAACCCAGATTCTGGGTTTGACCTTAACTTGCAAAAATGGGGGAATATGGAGAGGAAAGGGAAACATAATTGAACTGAGTAAAATATTAATTTTTCATATATGACTGTTGCTCCACTAAAGGGAGAATATAACCAACACTAAAGGCCTCACCGAGTGTGTGAATGCCAACTCAGCACAAAATACAAAAGTTCATCAACTAACTTCACTACAATTTCCCTTATTATAAAAATAAAAAAATAAAAAAAATCCCCAAATTCCTTTACAATTAACCCATTCATTACAATTTCGTCCCATTACTTGTGATCAAGGCAATCACAACAATAGTTGAACATTAGCTAAAACACCTTTCTTGTAAATTCTACTAGATAACACTTCTTTAGGACTAAGCAGAGACAAACCATCTTCCATTACTTGAGGCAATGTTGAATGTAGAATTCCATTGTTGCCCAGCTACTCCTTTAGACAACTTACATGATAGACTGGATGGATTTTTCTATTCACAGGAAACCTCAATTTATAAGCTATCTCACCCACCTTCTCAATCACTTCATAAGAGCCATAGTATCTTAGCTGCAATTTATGAAAACTGTTGGGTGCCAGGGACTGCAACTGGTATGGAACTAAGTTCAAATAAACATAATCTCCAACTACAAACTGCCTTTCACTTCTTCTCTTATCTGCCTGTTCCTTCATTCAGTTTTGAGCTAGTTCCAAATTAGCCTTAAGCACAACTAGGACTTTATCCCTTTCTACCAAGCTTTGTTCCACAGATTCCACATTAGTACTCCTAATCTCATAAGCAGCCATGTGTGGAGGATGGTATCCATACACTAATTCAAAAGGAGTGAATTTTGCAGAGTTGTGGTAAGAAGTGTTAAAGCACCTTTCAGCCCAAGCTAACCATTTAATCTAACTCCTAGGTTGTCCTTCCACAAAACACCTTAAATAAGTATCTAAACACCTGTTCATCACTTCAGTTTGCCCATCACTTTGAGGGTGATATCCATAACTCATGCACAATTTAGAGTTTTGCAATTTGAAGAACTCCCTAAAAAATGCAATAATAAAAATTAGATCTATATCACTAACTATGGTCTGGGGCATTCCATGAGGTTTAAATATGTGATCAATGAACAACTAAGCAACTCCAGAGGCTGTATAAGTATGCGTTAAGGCTACAAAGTGTGAATACTTAGATAACCTATCAACTACAACCATTATCACAAATTTCCCTTTGCATAATGGTAACCTTCCTATGAAGTCCATACTTATATCAGTCCAAACTTTACTAGGAATTGGTAGAGGTTTCAGCAATCCAGGAGGTGAAATGGTCTCATACTTCTGTTGCTGACATTCAGCAATGAATTGCTTGATGTTCTTCTTCATTCCTTGCCAATAAAACATCTTCAACCTGTGATAAGTCTTCACAACTCCTTGATGTCCAGCAACAGAAGTTGAGGGATATTCTACCATGAGTTGATCTCTCCACTCAGATTCAGGGCTAAGAGTAATTCTCTTCTTGTAACGCAAGAAACCATTCTCAATGGTGAACTTTGCAAGTGTAGAACTAAAGCTACCAATATTAACCCCTTCCATGACTTCCCATTTCTTCTTTGCAATCCACTCATCATGTTCATTATACATTCTTAGGTCATCTAACTAACCACCATAAAGGTATGAAATAGAGATACACTCAAGTGAATGATAGGTGGCAAGTTCTTGGAGTTGGGAGGCTCATTGTACTCTTGAGAGGGCATCTGCAACAACATTATCATGCCCAAATTTGTATTGAATTTCATAGTCAAAGCCTAGAAGCTTAGAAATCCACTATTATTGGAAAGTGTGTTAGCCCTTTGGTTCAAGAAATACTTAAGACTATTGTGATATGTCTTAATAATGAAATGCCTTCCTCGGAGATAACTTTATCATTTCTTAACTGCACAGACTATGGCAATTAGTTCTCTCTCATAGGTAGACAATGCTTGATTTCTAGGACCTAGTGATTGACTGGTGAAGGCAATGGGTTTATTGCCTTGTGGTAAAACTGATCCAGTCCCACATCTAGAAGCATCACACTTGATTTCAAAAGGCTTAGAGAAATCAGGAAGTGCTAAGACCTGTGGAGAATCCATAATGTCCTTGAGTTTTTCAAATGCTAATGTAGCTTTACTGTCCCATTAGAAGCTATCTTTTTTGGTAAGATTCTATAATGGCTGACAAATTCCTTCATAGCCAGGAATGAATTTCCTATAGTAGCATGTCAAACCAAGGAAGCCCCTTAATAATTTTAACATTCTTAGGTATAGACCAGTCCTTAATTGCTTACAACTTAGCTGGATCAACTTCAACACTTTCTCTAGATACAATGTGGCCTAGGTATTCAACTCTACTTTGGCCTAGACAACATTTTGACTTCTTGAGGTAGAGTTAATGGTGCTGCAATATCTCAAACACCACTTTCAGGTGTTACAGGTGCTCACTCCAATTCTTACGATAAATCAACAAGTCATCAAAGAAAAATAATACAAATTTCTTAAGATAGGACTTAAAAAGATCATTCATCAAATTCTGGAAGGTTGTTGGAGCATTAGTTAGGCCAAATGGCATAACCAAGAATTCATAATGGCCTTCATGGGTTCTAAAAGCTGTTTTATTTTCTATATCTGTAGGGTGCATCAATATTTGATGATAACTAGACCTCAAATCCAATTTTGAGAAGTAATTGGCACCAAATAGCTCATCCAATTAGATAATCAATTAAAGGGATAGGGTACGTATCCTTGATTGTAAGGGAATTAAGCTCCCTGTAGTCAATGCACATGCGCCATATCTTTTCCATCTTCTTCACTAGTAACACAAGGAATGAAAAATGATTGTGACTTGGCCTGAAAAACCTTGCAGCTAGTAAATCTTGCACAACTTTTTTAATTTTAGTTTTTTGTAATGGCCCTTAATGATAAGGCCTAATATTAGGAGGTTTGTCTCCAATTACCAAGGGTATATTGTGGTCATGAACACGGGAAAGAGGCAACTGAAAGGGTACCACAAAGATCTCTTCAAAATCACCAAAGAGGTGTTGAAGTTCTTGGAGCTGATTGGCAGCAAGATCATAAGCCTTAATTTTCTTATCCTCTATACAATAAAAAAACAATCCTAAATTGGAATTGTATATTTCCTTATCTAGGTGTTGTAGGGAAACCTCTTGAATCAATGGTTCAATAGGAGGATTGTGCTACAATTTGTACTTCTGTTGGTTCCTGGTAAACTCCATGGTGAGCAATTGAAAGTCCCAAAGCAATGGCTAACTGTGGATAGTCATTGAACTCCGAAGATGTCACACCCCAATCCAAAAATAAGGATGATAATCGAAATAGGCCATGAACAGTATCTTAGTTAAAAAAAATTTGTAACATTACAACAAAAGTATGATGAAACCAGAGCCATCTAAAATTTCATTTAGATCTGTTTATTTAATACATCTTGAGTTTAAAGAGTTCAACTCTTACAACACACTCTTAAGATACTAAGACACTTTATTCTAAGCACAACTAGGAACCAACACACATGATATGGCTATTCATTTAGAGACGAGTCATCATCCTGTTCCTCAATACCGGTACCTATAATAGCTAATAGGGTGTGAGCATTTCATGCCCAGTAGGAACCATATACCCTTCAAGTTCATTTATCACAGTTAATCAAAGTGTCATGCATCAAACAATAAGGTAAAATACAAATGATATGACAAAGAAGTACCTATGAACTCACTTCCTTCTAATCCCGCTACCCTATATTTATGGCATCCAAACCCGCACTTCCCATACCATGCTTATACCACTTGGTTTCAAGCACCATAGAATATAAGTTAACTCTCATTCCTCCCTTAACCCCGAATTTTATTAGTAGTTTCAGTTTCATTAATATGGGCCCTTCCCCCGATGCCCAACTATAATTTCAAGACCTTCCCCT